GGGGGGGGGAGGGAAACTTACAAGTGTCCTCTACAACCTTCCATCATAAGCCACGTTATTCCACTTAATTGGTACTGCTATTCCAGCCACGTGTAAAGTTCGACAATCGGTCTAGTTTACTCGGTCAAATAAATGTTTTTTTAAAATGAAGCCATATATGAGATATTTTTCTTTTGAAAATACCACTTATGTTCTTTTAGAAACTATGCTTTACTTTTTTTTTATTTGCCTCTGAAAAAAACTGCGATGTAAAAGAAAAATAAGTCTTTTTCGGAAAAGATATAAAAGCTGATTTACATTTTTGTAAATTGTTCATGTCTTTAAGATCTTTGAGTGTTATTATCCATTCAGTCACCTTTCTTACTGTCTGGCGTGTAGATAAAAAAAAAGTTCTAAATCGATGCGTTTGAACCGAAGTTATGCAACAAAATAGGTAGGCTGGGTAAATTTTATCCAGTGTGGTAGATTTGGGTAGCAAATATGGTGTGGTAATCTAGGATTAAATTGAGAGAAGGCCAACAAACTGCGTCGAGATCGAAAGTAACGGCGCGCAGTTTGTGGAATTAGAACATGTATGTAAAATTCACATAGAATTATTAGAAGCATCAAGATTCTGCTATGCAATTCGTTGGCCTTCTCTCAATTTAATCTCTTGTATTAGTTCTATTAATGTACTATTCAATAAGTTCAATAAATTAATTGTTTAAAAATTTGCGATAAAAGTAGAACATTTATAAAATTGATTAATTTTAAAAACATAACATTTATAAAATTGATTAATTTTATAAATGTTTATTATAAATTTCATATAGTATGGGGCTTTAAGAAAATATTTCTGGCCTTAAATTTGTTTGTTTCTCCTTATTTTTTATGCTTTTTGTATATGTCGTAGGCAAATAGTCATTTTGAAAAAATAGATAGCTTTTGATTAGACAAATGTTATCTGTCTGGTCAAATGACTTTTACTTGTTTATTTTTGCTATTTTAGTCAAATGTTACACGGTCTGTCCCAAAAGTTTCCGAACTTTCATTAAAATTCACTCTGTAAGGTAATAATTATGAAAGTTTAATAATTAAGATCATAAACGCCAACACAGTACAAAGCGGATTTTGATGCTTTCATATAATATTATAGTGTGAATCTTACAATTTTCGGTTCACATAACACCACGTGGCCACAAATCGCATGCATCTCCGCAGCTCCGAACCAAGTAGTAGTAGTAGTAATTGTTGTGCGGGTGCTTCTACAAGAGGCCCAGCGTCACTTAGATCCGTAAAGTACCACTGTAACTCCCGCTTAATTTGAGAGGCTCCAAATGGCAGTCTCCCCCCGCTGCCCGAACCCCCGTTCACCCCCGTGTCAGACATCAGTCCTTCTCAGACCAGTGCCGACACTAGGCTTTGTTTAGCTCCTGCGCTAGACACTGGTCCTATCTCGGACTTTGCGCCAGATACCAGGCCCCGTTCAGCCTCGTGCCGGACACCAGGCCCATATCACTCCCCGGAACCCCTCTCTACCATTGGATGTTCTAATTTGGCAGAAATACTCTTGGTGGTTTTGCCGTGTCTTATCGAGAGGTGGCGATCGCTTTCCAGAGACCGTGCTCCGATTTGCGCCGCCAGATGCCGGGCATTGGTCGCGCATTTCAGAGCACCGTAGTTCTGGGTAGTTTTGAACCTAGAGCCTCGGCACAGTAAGCTGGCATGTAGCACCCTGCGCTACGATCGTCACAATCAAGTATGTAATATCACAATTAAATTGCCAAAAGCAATCTAATAAATCGATGCTTAAAGCATTTATTTTAAATCCTGTGAAATCCCCCCACTCTCGCGACATCAAATAAATGCTAACTTGTATCTATACGAATCTGTAAAGAATTTATTGAGAAAAAATATCACCTTATGTTCTCAGCCAGGAATCGAATCCGGATCTCCATGTTTGCCCGTCCTTGGTGATCTAAAGGCAGGACGCTCGTCCGGCAAACGTGGAGATCCGGGTTCAATTCCTGGCCGAGAACATGATATTTTTTCGCAATAAATTCTTCACAGATTCGTATAGATGCAAGTTAACATTTATTTGACGTCACGAGGACGGGAGGATTTCACAAAATTTAAAATAGATGAGCATCGAGCATCGATTTATTAGATTGCCTTTGGCAATTTAAATGTGATATTACATACTACTTGGTTCGGAGCTGCGAAGATGCACGCGATTTGCGGCCACGTAGAATGAACCGAAAATTGTAAGATTCACACTATA